CCAGTCTGGGCAACAGAGTGAGACTCCAACTCAAAAAAAATAAAAAAAATAAAAAAATAATATATATATATATATACACACACACATATATATATATATACACACACACACAAAATTTGTTGTGAAAATCAACGATTTGGGTAAGTTGAGTTGAAGTTTCCTAGGGGTATCCAGCAAAGTGGGTCACACAGATCTTGGGTCCAGGAGATAGAATGAGACTGTGATAATCGATGTGGGAATTTCCTAATATATTTTTAAAAATGAGAACTGACTATAAGATCTTGTCTGGTAAGAGATATTTTCTCTACAGCCTAAAATTCAAATCCCTTAAGAATCACTTGTCTGGATAATACAATATGCACTTAGTTCTTTTTATTATTCACATTAAGGTATGTCAAAGTTTAAAATATTTACTTAAAACATCTGCACAATTACTAAAACAAGCTTCACTAAATCAGGAGTGACAGTATATTATTACTACTTTTATACCAGATAACAGAGTTGAAAAAATCAACAACAAAAAAATCACTCAAATTTTACTGTGGATTAGGATAAAATATGTCCAGTATTGATTCACATTTTCCCAGTAAGTATAAAAATGAATGTAGAGGCTACTTGGACAAATTATTTCAACAAGAGACTTCTATTCATTAAATAATATACTCGAACTCAAACCTGACAGGTATAAAAAAAGTTTGTTTTTTTTTGCAGACTTTAACGTTTTGTACTTGTAAATTAAAGTCAAATAAAGCATATGTCACAAATACTAAAGGTTTACATTGTGCTGTTTCTAATACAGGCTAGTGAAATATTAACACATAGCATTTAAAATAATACATATACATTTTATTTACAATGTTTGGGAATGCTAGAGATATGAACTTTTATGTACATTCAGATGACAACATTTTAACTTTAGGTTGTATTTACAAGTATTTCTTTTTCTTCTCCTATTTGCTTTTTTTTTTTTAGCTCAAGAAGAGTTAAAATAGAATGCATCTGTAGATATATAGTTGAGAATGTGTGTTCAGTCACTTGGCTCTGTGATAGTAATTTTCTGTACCATGTCAGGCAGATTTTCAGACTCCAGATCTTCTTTGCCATTATCTGAATTTCCTGATGAGATATAACAACCAGAGTCCCTTGGGCAGTCATCTAACTGTGACTTATTTAAGGAGCTGTCTGGGCTCAAGGATAGGGGCACAGGTTCATTTTCTTGATCTTGAATAGCTGTAAATGGAAAAAAGGCAGGAATTAGGCAAAACCAAGACAAATTTTATTCATGTACTAATTCACTTTCGGGCATTATCCTAACTGTAAAGTCAACCTTGACTTCATTACAGTGGAGAGTCCTGCAAGTAAAAGATATCTTTATTAAAAAAAAGATATTTGCACTCAAATATTCAAGCCACTGTTTTCTTAGAAGGCAAAGTTTGCCCTTGGTTGTTCACTTGCAGTTTCGTGGAATTCATGGGAACTGCCTACATAGCAAAGATCAATATAGAATCTCATTTTACATTGATATTAAGTTGCCAGAGACAGCAGATTGTATCCACAGTGCGACTGATGCCCTGTCCAAATACTCCTTAAAGAATCATTAGAAAAAGTCATTTATAGTTTAAATGTTCAATCCAAGTCAATAGTGATCTTTGTGAACAATTTAAGTATCATGGTAATGTGAATTAATGAATAAAAGATCACTATGGGCAACAATGTACAGCAGAACTTCAATTACTTGGAATTTAACTTATAAAATTTTAAGTATCCAGAATTTTCCTATGTTTGCATTTATCAGAAAATAGATAGATGAAACTAGGTTGCTTTTAGAGAGTAAAACACTGAAATGCTCATTTAATCTGCTTTATGAATATTTAGTTTGTCTTCCACATCTTTGCAGTTCTGAATAACAATCATTTATGTCCAGATTGAAAATTCTGTGTCATTAAAACAGTGTTATATATTCAATGGGCATTATCTTTTAAAAATTAATATTCAAGAAATAACAAGAGATATTTCTAAAGAACCTAAGCTGCCTTATATTTAAAGTGATCACTCCTTTAAGATTCCTTCGGCCTCAGCTTTCTTCCTGTCCCGAAGCTTCTTCGCCTGTCCTGACGCCAATAAGTGGATGCTTCTCTGTATTATCAGCTGAGTTCTTCAGAGAAGAAATGAACTCCAGGCTAATGACACTTAGTTTTATTAGCATGTCTTCCTCTTTCCTCTTCTAACCTTGAGACTTTACCAGTTTAAACATTTGAAGAGTTCCAAGTTGGGAGAACCAAACACAGACATTTAAGGTTGGGACAAGATCTCTGACTTCAGAGATTATGCACGTCATCCCATTCCAGGGAGAAGAGAGTAGATTCAAGAATACTTCAAAATCCTTGGAAGAAGGGAATTGTATAATTTTCTTCCACAGGCTACGGTAATGCTAATTAATCCGTCTTTAGAATGTTCACCCTTTACCTGATTTATACACCTCCTACTTCGTAAAGGTATTTTCTAGGTTTCAGATATCTTACCCACATGAGTTTATGATTCTCTGTGTCCAGTTGTCATTGACCTCCATTACAAGTGAGTAATGGGCCCTGATACCCTAAGGTACACTTATATGTAATGAATTAACTTCCCTTTAATGTATCTAGAATGGTACTAGTTTATCTATCATCCAAGAGAGGATAAGGAAATGATCACATAAAACGTTTTCTGTGTTCTGTGGTTTAGAAGAAGAACACTAGTTGGAAAAGACTGGAAGAAAATTATAAAAAGTCTCCTTAGTCTACTCCTTTTCAAAGTGAATTGTAACAGTTCTTTTAACCTTTTCCTTAAGGCTTTTATTTGTAGCCATGAAGCCATATGTATGTCATTCTTCTGAGTCTTCATGTTTGCCATAACTTGATTTAACTGTAAATTCACAAGTCAGGTATTTAAATGTAGTGATGTTATAACTAGTTCTAATATGCATCTATTGTGATTATTATTTTTAAATTTTACCTACTTTGAAGCATTTTCTGTTTATTAGTCATTAACACTAAGTTTGAGGGCATTTACTAGTCATCATTATCCGTATCTGTCAATCACTTTTGTTTCTAAGCTCTTTTATGAAAACACAGCACTAAAATGGGACCTAATTCTGTGAAGATTTTCTTTCTCTCTTGCCTCTGCTTTTCTATCTCATTGCCACTGAAATGAAATGAGCCAGCTCTATATTCCATTATGCAAGTGTTTCTGGAAAAGGCCAGAGGAATTAGTCCTTTTGTATACATCCTGCCACAAAGGCAATGATCACCGTATTTGGAATGTGATCCCCTTTAGTCATAATGGTTGTGGGGATAAGGCCACATTTCCCAGATTATGTTTGGGCCTATTACCTCAAAACAAAATTAAAAGAACTGAGCTACTTCCCTTCAAACTGAAATACTAAAGAAGACTTGGCATAATAAAAACTGCTCCCAATACGCTTTTCTGTTTAGGCTGATTACCAATTGTGGGGCTCTTTTCAAGATATAAAACTTAGGCTTAAAGTACTTTATTTCCAGAATTAGTCCTTTCCTTTTAAAAATAAGTACTTAGCTTGTTATTTCATCCTTGGAAACCTCTATACAAAAAGCTGAATGGGTAACAAGGTAAATAAATGAAAAACTATCTTTACCAGAGAACATGCATTGTTTAATATTAGTAATAAAATGTATTTGTTTTTATTTCCACCTGAGAAATGCTATATCACATTCTTTAAATTCTAATAATTGATTTATTTTAAATACAGGTTATTTATTATAGAAATCTTTCATCTGCATTTTTTTATGGAAGAAGAAAATAGTTTCTCGGTATGAAAGTTATGCAGCACAGTAATTTACAGAGTAGCAGTAATTTGCTAAATGATTTCGTAGTGAAATGAAAACATGACTATGTCTCCTCAAATGCTTCCCACCAGGCCTGCAATAATTTCAGGCAGGTAATCTGCTGGAACTCCTCAACTGTAACTATAAAAAGAAAAGGCAGGTCATTGTGTTATATTATGGAAATGAAAGCTACATAGCATTCACTTTTTTATTTGGAGAATCAAATATTTTCTCTTCTTGTTTCTTTTTATCCTGACACTAAAGACAGGAATTGGCACAAATTTAGGTCTTATTTTATGGGAGGAGGGTGTGTGTGTGTGTGTGTGTGTGTGTGTTTCCTGCAGAGGGGATGAATTCACACTGATGTACCCACATTTTCTTTCTAAGTCACTTAATCCCTTCATATGGCCACGAAACACAGTAAAGCTAACTGGTCTACCCAGAAATTGAAACCATTACCCATCATCAGTTTTGTCTCATGAGTCAATCATTTGGGCTAACCAGGCAAGTAACACATCAGAATAAGAAACAGTTTGCCTCCAAAATTGCACACTTTCCACAGGATATCTTAGGCATCTTTTAATACCACAATGTTTTTGATTATATGTTAGGTATAAAAATGTATACATATTTTATATATTCTGTTATTAAAATTACATACAAACATATATATATATATACCACACACACAAATATAATTCAAAATAAAAGTGTTCAAATTTTAGATAGATTTTTACCTGTAATTCTCAAATCATCTACAATGTTTTGTTTTTTTAATGACAAAATAAAAATGGTACAATAGTTCAGTAACGCCCTCAAATTGATTGCAAATATCCCAAAGGCCATACATTCTCAAATCTGAGTATATTGAACAACTATTATATAATTTGTTAAAGGGTCTCTTTTATGGCTGTCAGCAGACATAATAAGAACAGCAGAAAGCAGAACAGTTCTATTCTCTATGTAATAAAACTAAAATGATCATATTAAGAAAAAAATATTTAGCAAGTATTTTATCTTAAGGAACTAATTTAAATATAAAGAAAGTTTATGGATAAACATTTTAAGATAATCATCAATGATGAAAACAGTACATATGATTAAAAGAAAGGAAAGCTAATATAATTACTCATAAAATAATTATATTGAAGATGTGATATTTAATTAATTAAGAAAGGCAATCTCAATTATATTAAAAGTAAAGACAGTTTCAAGGAAATAAAACCAAATCTTTATTCTGGGAAAAAGTTCTCATACACTGAGGAGAAAAATCTGTCCCATATCCACATATTAAAAAGTTAAGGATTCAATAAAATGAAAACTAATCTTTGCTTGCATTCCCAGGTTTCTTTACCCAAATCATTTACATTTTTATTTTACTATCTTGCATGTCTAAAGCCTGAAGCCTGTTTATGTAGACTAAGTACTATAAAGTAATTTTACCTAGAGACACTAGGAAAATGCTTGGCCAAAGGAAATGCAATAAATACAATGATGCTTAGTTGAATTAAAGGAAATAAGAACTAAGGAAGAACAAAAAAGGAATTCTGTTGAAATTCACAGGAAAATATATCTCAGCTCTATGAACTGTCCTCCTCTTTTTCTCTAGCCTGATGCCATCTCCAAAGACAGAAAAACCAGGGATGCACATTTTTGGACGGCTCAAAACCTCACCCTCATGTTTTAGCCCCATTGGAGTCACTCAAACAAAAACCTAGCCATTCTCCAGGTAGCTACAGCTACATTTATTTGTCTAGAGGCAGCTCTAGACTGTCCATGGAGGAAAATGTAATGGACAATATGGCATAACTCTCAGTTATTTTTTTATTTCTTCCAAAGCACATTCTTCAGATACCTGAACATTTTAACTTTTCTAATTATGGTAAATATGTGGTGTTCATTTTACGTGAATACTAAACCACCCTTTGGGAAAACAACAACAAATGAAAAACAGGAATTCATTCACAGAAAAACAACCAGTTGCTGCTGTTCTCTTGAGTCCACGAGAGAATGTGGAGTTGGAATGGCCTTCCCCTCCTTGATCATCTCTCTGCAGCCTCACTACTAGTCTACTTCTAATGAGATGTGCACCAGAGAGTAAGTCATCTCCCTGTCATCCACTGTGCTGGGTGCTTCAGAAGGAGCAGAGGCATACTCACTCAAGATCACAGTAACTCAGTGTTTACCCAGCAGCACCATCAGGCTGCTACTTTTCCCAACCACACATCCCCATGGAAGGCTTTGGTCCCAGAAAATATTCACCTTCGGTTGAGTTGTCATTTTGGACTGACTTTTTTGATAATGGCCAAATAAGATTAAAAACTATCACACACTACTTAATTAAGGGTCTTGGGAAATCAATGTCATATTTCTTACAGGTTAATGAGA